TAGTATAGCATAAAGAAAAACACAGAATATAAGAAAAGGCACTGGTCTGAGAAACAGAAAACCTAATTTTTCCAGTTTCTCTTTACCCTTAAAACTCAACATGGAGCAAATGACTGCATCTCTCTGGATCTCTAAGATAATCCAACTTTAGCATTTTATAGGTTTATCATTGATCTAATTGTTTTGAGTTCACATAAATAGTTGAAGACCTCAGTTTTTACAAAGTGAAGACACCTGTGCACCTACCACTCAACTCAAGATATAAAACACTACCAGCACCCTAAAGACCCCCCCCCACTTCATTAATTATCCTGTCATCCCCCATGAGTGCATGCTAAGTCGCTTCAGTTGTGTCCGACTCTATGGGACCCTATAGACTGCAGCCTGCCAGGCTCCTCTGTCCATGGAATTCTCCAGGAAAGAATATTGGAGTGGGTTTCCATGCCATCCTCCAGGGGATCTCACCAACCCAGGCATCGAACCCGCATCTCTTATGTCTCCTGTGTTGGCAGGTGGGTTCTTTACCACTAGCACACCTGGGAAGCCTGTTAGCCCTCATAAAAGTTATCAATGTTCACTACCATAGGCTAGTTTTATTATTAGAATCATACAATAGTCTTTTCCTTTAGTATGTATTTCATAATGTCAAGCTTCTTTCACACAGCATTGTTTGAGAGTCATCCATGATTTTACTTGCAGCAGGAGTCTGTTCTTTTTTTACTGCTATAGAATATTCCATAATAGGAACATACATCCCTCCACCTTCTCTATCCAACGTTCCCAGACTGGGGCTACTCAGAATAAGGCTGCTCTACAAATTCCTGTGCATGTCTTCCAATAAACACATGTATGCATCTCTGTTGAGTACATACCCAGCAGTGGGATGCAAGGCCACAGGGTATGCATATATCCAGGTAGTGTTCTAAGCAAGTTACATATCAATACATTTAATCGCGACTACCACTCAATGAGGTAAGTGATCCCATTATCCCCATTTACAGAGGAGGACATGGAGGCATGAACAAGTCGGCTCTGTTGAACCAGTTGCTCCGCTGCCTCTCCGTGGGGGCAGGGACCACATCAGCCTTGTGTAGTACAGTATCTAGTGTCCACCACGGGGCCTTGCATACACACAGGAAGAGCTCAACAAGTATTTTTCGAATAAAGTATTAGAGAAGAGCAGGACTCCACTCTCCCCAACCCTGCCCAACAACACTTATATCTCACGAAAGCTGAAAATTTTATCCTCCCTTTTTGGACATAAATTACAAATCAGATGAGTTGCCTCATGTTTTCCTTCTCTCAATGCCCTTTAATGGATGTGCAACTGAAAAGGGAAACTGCTAAAGATTAACCACATGAAAGTATTCCCAGTGCACTGAATTTGTGCACCGGAACTTTAAAATATACAAGTCTAGCCCAACAGGTGAGAAGCAGTCAGAAATTAGGACACTTTCCCAAGATCAAACTACTACTAGGAAACCAGGCAGACTTCAAGTCTTTTGTTAAAGAGGCTGTTCCCAACACTCAGAGGCTTGGGAAATAGGCTGTTCCCAACCCAGAATGACAAAACAGCAGTACATTAAGATCCTTTGGGGGATAAGGCACTTTTCCAACTAAGGGAATGTAAAACACTAGCGGAATGTAACTTGTTTGGCTATTATTTCTAAGAGATAAAATAAAAAAAGTTAACCCTAGCCTTAATATGGCAATTCAAAGCAAGTTCTCTGATAATCTACTCCTGGGTTTCCCAACAAACTAAATGAAGACAGCTGGGAACAAATTCCATAGGTTTGTCTGAGTGCATCCCTCCCCTCTACGTCCCAAGTGCCTTTCTAGTGATATGTTATATACTTTTTGCAGAACCGGCATCTGTATCTCTTAAGAAAACTGCTTCTGAGATCGCTGCAAATCAGTTTCCTCAAAGAACAACAGAACCAAAAGATTCTTCAGAATATTTCTGCAGTCAGGAGACTACCTACGTGACCCAACTTCATCAGGTAAATGTCATAAATTTTTAGAAAAGGTATGAAAATATTTACCAGTTGTAGGGTTCAATTCCTAACACAGGAAAATGATAATTCACTGAAGGGCATTTTTGTCCCCTAACTAACCAAGGAAAGGCTAACTAGCTGATTCATGTGATAAATGTATGAAATTTAAGTAATTCCTTTTATGGAAGCTTCAAATATGTCCATGTCATTCTAGTCTCCATAAACTGTGACTGTGGTTTAAAGATAAAGATCTCTAATCTACAATGGGTTGTATGGTTTGTCCCAACTCTGCAAACCTCAGAACTCATTGATGTTTTTAGGTCCGAAAAAGTACTTGACGATTATAATTATCTGGCATGAACAAGCAAACACACACAGCTTTATAGCTGATGAAGACAACCAATTAGCTTAACACTGAAAATTCCTCCTGACAGAAAACAGAGCTATGGTATAAATCTGCAAATAGCCAGACTACTAAAAAAGAAGGACTTCTGGATGAACCCATCTGGATTAAGCATCCAGTGCATGACTGTCCAGTAATTGATATTCCATTTGTTTTTATATATAAAATACATAACACCACATCTTTCAGGGGTTCTGTCATCCCTGACACTAAATATCTATGCCTGAGAGAGAACCAAAAACAATGCAAAAGTGATAGACATTTCAGTTTCTAGAGCCTTCTGCAATAGACCACCACCTGCCAATGTACACTGTATATAACTAACTCGATATTAAATTATAACAACCCATCTAGGCTTCTGATTTTGACATTCCTTGATCTACTGTCAAATGAAAACGTTTTTTGAAAAATTTATTTTATTGAAGTATAGTTGACTTACAATGTTAATTTCTGCTGTTCAGCAAAGTGATTCAGCTATATTTATTACATTCTTTTTCATATTCTTTTCCATTATGATATCACAAGATATGTAATATAGTGTCCTGTGCTATACAGGAGGACCATGTAGTTGTTATCCATTCTATTAAAAACATTATTTCTTAATCTTTCACCCCTATAGCAGCAGATTTTATCTTCTAGACATAAAGAAGTTTCATATTCTTAGAATCAGTTCCCCCAATGTGTGAGGACTTTTGCTAATCTAAAATTGTGAACTGGATAGGATTATGGGCAAGAACCAGTGCTCTCAAAGAATCTTAATGATTCTATACCTGCTGCTGCTGCTTCTAAGTCACTTCAGTTGTGTCTGACTCTGTGCAACCCCATAGACGGCAGCCCACCAGGCTCCCCCGTCCCTGGGATTCTCCAGGCAAGAACACTGGAGTGGGTTGCCATTTCCTTCTCCAATGCATGAAAGTGAAAAGTGAAAGTGAAGTCGCTCAGTCGTGTC